TTTGATAATATTTTAAATATTATCTTCAGAAAAAAATTATTAATCATAATAGGACACATAAGATTCACACTGGCTTGATCAAAAAGTCACCAAAAATTGATCCAGTTAAGTATTAAGTTAAAATTAAGTTAAAATTTTTGTTCATCATTGTACGTTATTATTTCTACTTTCTTACTGCTACTAATTTGTAAATATCCCATAAAGAATATTTTTATGTGCAAATATTGTTCAATATACATGTACAATATATGTATATAAATATATATCTAAGAAATTAATTATTGCTTGTGTCTGTACTTACATTTTACTATACTTTACATAAATGACAAACAAAATTTTCCTTTCAATTCAATATCTTCAAAATTACAATGAAATGATAATAAAAGGTTCATAATTTTGTTATAAAAATGTACAAATTATTAGATATACATCCATCCGTGGAAAAAATTTATTTTCAGTGCAGACATCTTATTTTGTTACAAATTATAATCGATTGGTTGGAAATGTTTAAATTGTCGAGAAAAAAAATATAGAACGCAAAATTATTTTAATAAGATTTAGAATTCCCTTTCTTGTTATTTTATTAATTTATAACACTAAATAAATTTAAGCAAAAAAATATTCTTTTTTTATATAGGGATGTATTAAAAATTATTGTAATGTGACGGCCGAAGAGAAAGCTTCACTGTTAGATTTGTTAGATTTCTAGTGAATAATAGCAGAACATAATTTAAGGCACTTTTTACTGTAAGCACCTTAGATTTATATAAATATTCATTTATTAATCACATTTTAAAATATGTGTAATATTTATCAGCCTTTCACTATAAGGAGTCATTTTCAATAATATGACAATAACGTGTTACGTAAATAAGCATTTGTCAAAATGATGATGGTATTGCAAATAAAATATTATTAATAAAATTGTCGTAATTTTGCAAAATTAATGTACACGCATATTAATCAATTTTGCAATTATTTCCGACAATCTATTTAATCCCCATTAGCTTGTTATATCATATGTTATAAATATCCGTTCAACTACATATATAAATTTTCATTATTTTCACAATTTCATTGGTACTAATATATGTACAATGATAATATATAATTCCAAAATATACCGATGATAATAAAATAATCATTATTAGAAATCTAATAACTATCTGTTGCACCCACGATGAATTTCTATCTAGAAATAAATAACTTAAAATTTAAGATTTTAATTAAACTATTTAAGTAATCGTACCTAGTACTTCAATGCACAAACGTGTGTGCATCAGTAACATTATTGTCTTATTGTATTACTTTATAAAGATGTTCATAAATGATATTTGTAAAAAATTATATTATGTGTTTAAATTGTTCCAGCCCGATATTTCGATGATTATTTATAATATTTTATTATTATTTTTAACATATGTTTATGAAGAATATTTGGACCAATATTTTTTCGTCATAAATATTAAAAAATAAAATTAATATTTTTTTTTTATGTTTCAAAAATGTTAGCAATTCTATATACGTTTCTATATATATAATATAATTATTTATAAATCATCATATAACTATGATATAACTTGACTTAATATAACATAAATCAGTTAACAAAAAAAAAAAAAAAAAAA